AGCGCCGCCGCGCTTCCCAAGCGGCGCACTTATCCAGTGCGCCACCAGGCCGGCCCCAAAAGTCTGCAATTTTGATAAAAAAGTTTCAATGTCAGATCATAAATTCTTGATTAGAATTGAAAACAAATTTTGGCTGATATACATTAACATATGTTTAAATGTGCTGAGGTTTTTATTTAATATACAGATTTTTTGAAAGCAAATGAAGTATCAGTTGATGCATCCATAAAACAAATTCTCCTGTGACCTATTAAAGGGAAAGCTAGAGTTTGTCCAGATACATTAATTTATTCATTCAACACCTATTTTAGATGGTATTTTAGGGATATAGTGGTGTACAACACAGATGAAACTTCTTGCCCCCTGGGTCATCCATTCCAGTAGAATAGAAAGCTGATAAACAAGATAAATTAGTAAAATGTAAGTAAGAGAGTGATAAGACCTGGGGAAGAAAAAAATAAAGCAGGAAAGGAGAAAATGAAATAGAAGTGAAGTTGTGTGGTGTGTGTGTGGGAGAGGGGATTGTGTTGAAATTTTAGACAAGGTGGCCAGAGAAATACTTACTGAGATGGTGCCTTTTAGTGAAAGAGCTGAAGAAAGTGAGGGAACAAGCTGTTTGTTGGGGAGGGTGGGGGACTGGCACATCATTCCAGGCAGAGGGAATAATAAATGCAAAAGAGCATGCCTGCCATATTTGACGAACAGCAAGGTGCCCGCTCTTGTTGGAGTGCTGATAATTAAGGGAGAGTGTAGTAAGAGATGAGGTCTAAGAGGTAACAGGGAGCCCAAATATCCGAGGCCTTTATCAGGGCATTGGATTTTACTGAGACGAGAGGACATGAGAGGGTTTTGAACAGAGGAGTGACATGATGTGATTTATGTTTTAACAAGATCATTCTGTCCACTGTATTGAGAGTAAAATGCAGAGGGGCAAGGAAAGAAGCCAGGAAACTATTTAGCAGGCTCTTGTAAACCAGAAGAGAGATGGTGATGGCTCCCACATGGTAGCAGAAGAGGGTAGGGAGGAAGTGAGAAGTGGTTGAATTGAGTGTGTGTGTGTGTGTGTGTGTGTGTGTGTGTTTAATCAACTTTATTGAGGTATTAATTAACAAACAATAAAATGTACACATTATACAGTTCAATGAGTTTTGACAAATTTATTTACTCAAAACTGCCAACACAATCAAGATATAGAACATTTCTGTCACTCCAAAAGATTCCTGTATGCCCCTTTCAGTCAGTCCCTAGTGCCAGACCCCAGCCCCTGGCCCCAGGCAACCACTGATCTGCTTTCTGTTATGGTAGATTAGATTTTTTTGTTTGGGAAGTTTCACGTAAATGGAATCATACATACCCTCTTTTGTCTGGCTTTGTTTTAGCTCAGCATAATGTTTTTATATTTATTTATATTGTTTCATATATGAAGATACTTCAAAAAGTTCATGGAAAGATTTGCATTATCTTTTAATTCTATTTTTTCCATAAACTTTTCAAAGTACCCTTGTATTAGTAGTTCCTTTTATATTGCTAAGTATATTAATGTTGTATGATATTATATTTATTTTGAAGATTGAGCTGCAGCATATGACAGAAAGACAAGTCTAGGTTGACACCAAGATTTTTGAATGGAGTTGCCATTAACTGAGGGGGAAGATTTCAGGAGGAACTACTGTTTGAGAGGGTAGGAAGGAAAATGTGGGCATCAGGACCTTAGTTTTGGACGTGCTTATTAAGCAGGTTTTAGATATCCACCAAACATCCAAATGGAGATGACAAGTAGGCAGTTGGAGTGTGCAGTTCAGGGGGAAAGTTCAGTCTGGAGAAATAAATTTGGGAGTCATTGGCACATGGTGTTGCTTTGCCTCCCACGAATTTGTCACCCCTTTTTTCCCTGGGTGATGGAGCCGCCAAAGATTACTCAAAGCCCATCTCTTTTGAGCAGTGAGAAGCCCCAGAAAGGGGTTAATATCCCAGAACTTGCTCAAGAGTGAGGCATTTATTCCATTTGGGAAATTAACCACAAATTGGGGTTCTCTTCCTGCATTTATTCTCCAGACTAAGAAGTTAAAGGAAGAGACATAGGTGGGGTTTTGCCAAGTAAAGTTCAACAAGTTTTACAATAGAAGATGATAACATTCAGTAAAAACAAGTCAGATGACATTCTGTTAGGCAGTTAAGTGATCCATTAGCAAAGGCTTGATTTTTCCTTTTCCCTCCAGCAGCTTTTTAGTAACTTTACATATCAATTAGTAACTTGTCTGTCTTTGAGCCAGCAACCTTGCTGTGTTACAATTCTTATCTTGCAACAGAGACTGAATAGCCTGGGGAAAATTTCCTGTCCTTTGCAAGGTCAATATTTGAAACTGCAAGGCTTTGGAAAACCAGGCCCTGTGAGGTACATTTGTTTTATGAATCCTCTACCAGCATGGTATTTAAAGCCACAAGAATTTGGGAATAAGTGTAGAGAGAAAAGAGTCCAAGTACTGAGCCCTGGAACATTCAAACATTTTTTTAGAGGGCATGAGATGAGGCAGAACCAGCAAAATAAATTGAGAAGCAGCCTCCAAAAGAGAGGAGGGAAGCCAAGAGAGAAAGTGTTTCTA